GTCTCACGTGCTCGACTTCAACAATACTCAATTCAATTACACACTCTCTGACTGTAGTTCAATTCTCATTGTTCCGTCACGTTGTGACCATCTTATATATACCAGACTACCCCCAATCTAGTAGTCTCTCGATAATTCACGAAGCTTCGAGAAAGACGTGGTGTGATACTAGTCACGTGACCTCGCTGACGCAACAATATTAAAGTTGCATGCGTGTGTTGCTACGGTAAGAACAGTAACCATTTAATATGATGCAATAAGAAAACAGAGTAATCTGTAAATCTTTTTGCTATGGATTTTCAGTAGCTCCTTAATTATACTCCATGTTGTTATGGTAATAACAGTGTTTGTTTAAAGTGTTACAGTAAATACGTACAAAATGATCTGTAAATATTTTTGCTATGGATTTTCATCAGTTCTTCCCCCATTCAAATATTTTACTTCTGCCAAATATATAACTAGTAACAAGGTTGATCCAGAAATAAACAATCTATAAAGGTGTAGCTCGAAAATGTTATGTTATGTTTGTTTGTAGCACAAAGCTACACAAAGGGTTATCTGTGCTCTGCCCACTACGGGTATCGAAACCCGTTTCTAGAGTTATAAGTCCGTAGACAAACCGCTGTACCACTGGGGCGAAAATATTATGCCTTCGATATTAGTCATTAGATTTTGTATTAGAGAAACTGCTTTCTTAGTTCTTGATGTCTTTTTATATTCCTATTTTTAATACATTGCAAGCATATGGACATTCCTTTCAGTTCATTGTATAACTAGAACTGAGGACATTTCAGATTAACATTTCACTTTCTAGGGTCTGAACCCCCAACCTCATCCCTTTGGTGACTCAATGGTAAGCTTGAGGAATCATAACAATAAAATTCGTGGTGGGCATAGCGCAGAAAGTACATCGTGCAGGTATACGCTTAAATAAAGAAATAATTTAGGCCTGAATACCTAGTAATTAATATCAACTTTCATTAAGTCAAGTATGGATATAGATGAACTTCTGAATAAAATTCTCCACCACAATCAATTTCGCTTCACAGTCAAGTGAAGTACGATGCTTTTACTTCTGTTCCTCTCTTGTTTGGCCCAGCATGGCCAGGTGGTTAGGATCGCAGGTTCGAATCCCCGTTACACCAAACATGCTTTCCCTTTCAACCGTGGGGGCGTTATAATGTGACAGTCAATCCCACTATTCGTTGGTAAAAGAGTAGCCCAAGAGTTGGCGGTGGGTGGTGATGACTATCTATCTTCCCTCTAGTCTTACACTGCTAAATTAGGTACGGCTAACGCAGATAGCCCCTCGTGTAGCTTTGCGCGAAATTGAAACAAACAAACTGTATTATTTGTGCGCCATCTCTCGCAGCTTTTGTAAATAAAAACTGCCACTTATATTTAGGTCTCTCGCCTGTTTTAATGTCTTACAACGTCAATATCAAAGCGCACATAGTAAGTTCGAGATTTTGCCTGCTTCCTGTGCAGACTAATTGGCTACGAAGGAATCTAAACAGCGATAACTTTAAGTCTATATTCATTTAAATAGTCAGAAGGCCAGTATTTTTATTCCTTTTGTTTCCAAACAACTCTGTTTCTTACTAATTTATTAAGAAAAATTTAACAAGACTTACTGAATTAACGTATAGACGAGGGAACTTGTTAATTTTAAAATAACCTATTTTAATTTATTTCATTATCTGAGTTGGAAGTAGAATATAATTGTTTCAAATTTAGTGAAGTTGTTTATTGTTGTCAATAATATTGATGTTATTCTATTTTGTTTGAGTGACTCGCATTATAAATAATTTTATCATTTTTAGGGAGTTTTTCTACATTCAAATGGAGAAGTTCTCTCGACAGGCTCTCAATGAAGGCCTTAAAAATTCAGAAGAGTTGAAAGTCAACTTTGATTCAGAGTTGATGAGAACTCTTAATCTTCATTACAATAGAAACAACCACATCGAGGTAGGTTTCGCGCTACCTTGACTTGTTTTAAAAGCATTACGTCATCATTTACTAATATGTCATATATCTTATAAAAGCTTCCTAAGTCCTATGTCACACAGTATCTATGAGATAGTGTATCTAATCGACACCATGTTTCTTAAAGCTTTCATTTGTATGCGTAACAAATGTGTGTTTGACTGATTACTATTAATGTTCCTTAAACGCTAAAAAGCTTTACGTACAACGATGTATTATTGTTGTGAGATAACAGTCATTTTTCTATTCCTATTTATATTGGCTTATTTAAAGTATAAAATCTCGAGAAAAATTTTAAGTCTATCGATAAAAATCCATTTATTGTTGTTGTGTTTTGCTTGTTTGCTTTCTTTTTAATATTTTATATATAATACTTCAAAACTTTGAAATTTATATATTTATTCCTATTTGGCTTTATAGGCTTCTAATTACTGCCGGTTTTGGAACATTGAATCACATATATTTATTTTGTTTTGGCTCTATAGGTCCCTGAGAACTTTCGGTTCGTGGTTGAGCACACATTAAGAGAATTCTTCAAAGTAATCAAAACTGGTAAAGACCAAGAACAATCATGGAAAAAAAGTATATATAAGGTCATAGCTCGTCTCGACGATAAAGTTCCAGAGAATTTCAAAACCCCAAATTTCTTAGAGTAACTAGAATTACCATTTAACTACCTTTGTTGGAAATTATCACATGGCAAGGATGTTTTAACCAAAGAGATCTGAAGTGGCTGATCTATAGGAGCTCACTGCTGGTAAATTACTCTTCTAGACGTTGAAATGATATACAAAAAGATACACATATCGAACATACTCTCATAGATCTTTGTGTCTTGCGGATTCGTGCCTTGGACTTTAGTGATATCTTTTGCGAAAGACATTTTTACACTGACCTGATTTAATCATCTGAAAACCGTGATATTCCAGAAAACTCATGAAATCTGAGACATGAGTCTTAGGTTTTGTCCTTTTAATTTTCAGATCTGTTTTAACTGTACTAAGACTACATGATAAGAAAATGGCGAGCGGATTTGTTCATGGCTGTAATCCATAATTACTCTTTAGGGATTAGTTCGTTGGATTTATTCGGAAGATTATCCTTTTTAGATTCCCTTTTTTCCCCTATAACAACTGTTTTTCTTGTATTCCATTTAAAGAAATATTTAGAACCAATTAATTAATTAACCTTTGTTTTCAATGTATCTAAAGCACCCATTAGATATCGCGACGAGTGTCCTAATCGCAGGATGTGCAAATAATTTTGTTTTACTTCAAGTCTATTGCACCATCTAGAGGACCATTGTTGTGTTCGTGAAAGATCTGTGTTTTTTAATATATATTTTATGGACACTTTTTAAAAAGACTATCAAACTATGAAGCATGGCGCTTTGGGATTTTAGATAACTGGTAAATTTTAGACCTTAAGAAAGCATTGGTTTGCTAAGCATTATTAGCAGCAGAGAGTTATTCTTTAATTAAATTGGTAGTGATTCTATTTTTTGTTCTTTCAAAACACATTTGAATCAATTTGTCTTAGTACATTTGTGCGTATATATATATGTGTGTATTTGTGTAATATTATTACTTTTAATAATGATTATTGTAATTATTACTTATAGCAACGACAATACATATTTAAGTAACGTTTTCGAGTTTAGCTTGTTGAAAATTTTATCCCTGGAAATTCCTCTTTTTGGTTCTTAAAACTAGACTCATCAGTAAAGTTAACTCAGACTTGTCTGAAAATCTCCCGCCATTTCATCATCACTCTCCTGTCGCAAGTTACCTACCGTTTACTCTATTAATTCCGCCTGATTTTTGACTCGCTCTGCTTAATACTACTTGACTACCATTATTCCTCAATGCTAGTTTATTCTTTTAATACAACCTGGCTAGCACTATTCTTCATTGTAGGCTTGCTCTTCTAATACAACCTGGCCACCAATACTCCCCATTGTTTTCTATTTTTGATTAGCTAGCATTATTTCTCATTATAGTACTGCTCTTCTAATACAACCTGGCCACCAATACTCCCCATTGTTTTCTATTTTTGATTAGCTAACATTATTTCTCATTATAGTACTGCTCTTCTAATACAACCTGGCCACCAATACTCCCCATTGTTTTCTATTTTTGATTAGCTAGCATTATTTCTCATTATAGTACTGCTCTTCTAATATAACCTGGCCACCAATACTCCCCATTGTTAGCTTGCTTTTTTTAATACAACCGGTTAACATTATTCACCATAGTTGATCTGTTCTTTTAATACTATTTGACTACCATTATTCCTTATTGTTGATTTGCTCTTTTAATACAACGTTACTAATAATATTTATCATTGTAGCTTGCTGTTTTAACACAGCTTGGCTATCATTATTTATTATTGTTAGCTTGCTTTTATAATACAATCTCACTGGCATTATTCCTCATTGTTGATTTACTCTTTTAATACAACCAGGCTAGTATTATTCCCTTGCTTGGATGACTAAGGACTTAAGCTCACAATTCGCTTATTTTTTGCTTTACTTGCTAATATTTTCATTGTTTTTGCCTAATAATTGATTAATAACATGTCGCCCATGAAGAAGTACTAAGGTCTGAAGTTTAGCAGTCTATTAATGTACCAGATTATATATATATTAATGATACAACCGGCAGGATGATGGTGGAAAGTTGCCTAAACCTAATACTTCCATATCCCGGCTTTCTCTTACAATAGATATTACTTTGTATTCCTCACACGGGGATTTCTAATTATTGGCAGCGCTTTTAATTTACGAATCTCTCTTTCGCTTCTACAATTAACATAAAAAAAGAAAGAAAATAAACCAACGATTTCTTGGTCATTCGCCAAAAAAAACATTGTTTTATATTTTTATTCTAGTAATTCCTATGGCTACGAATATGGTTGACGAAGAGATAGTAGCACCTGTATATCATTATGATTATTTGTTATGCAGATATAATCTAAATACATATATAAGTTTATAGGAATGTAACATATATATATATATATATACGTTCATCAGAATTTCAGACAACAATAACATCGAAAAGGAAGTTGGAGATGTGTAGGTACAAATGTAAGTTTTTATGTTAAGTAAATTGTATATATATATATATATATATATTCATCAATCAGGGTATTAATGTATAAGTTATCACAATCGAAAACAGAGCTGTAATATGGATATCCGCACTTGCGTTTGCCTTTATTTTCATTAGAAGTTTTTTAGAAGCTCACCACTAGAAGGTGGTAACGTTGGTATCAATTTTATGTCGAGAAATCGCCTGTTTAATCTCCATTCCAGAATTAATCTTGATATGTGTATTAATGATTTTACACACCTTTGGAAAACTAACTTTGAATCCAAGTAGTTTTCCAAGTTCAAACTAATAAAACCATTTGTTTATCTCGTCTTGAGGACGTATCTATTAAATAACTGTATATGTTAAAAACTCAAGAAGCAATCTCTTTAAGACAAGATATTGATCACTTGAGTTAACCTGCAAATGATATTTGGATCGAAATAAAATATTAAAGGTAAAAACTATTTTAGAAACTTTAAACTAGAATTAAACGTTGTTTATCGTATGGATTTCTCAGCTTTTCAAATTAGTGAAAATTATAATTAAGTATAAGACCTCTGAAACTTATTTTATTAGTCAGTCTTTAGGTTCTTTAATATTGCAGTGTATCGTGTTGTAAATTAGTTTCATAGTTTGTTGGATCCTTAAAAAAAAAACGTATATTTCCCAATGATACTAAAGTAATCTTTTTTCACTATTTCAATTTTCACTACCATGAAAATTACCTCAGAAACTGATACGCTTATTTTAAAATGTAATGTTTTTGTTTTTTAATCTTGCATATTATATTGTATTGCTAGACGTTCGTTTTTTCAGTCTCAGCTCATATTGGTGGATAGGGCGCTCGACTCGCAATCTGTGGATCGCGGAATCGAACTCCGTCACCGAACATTCTTGCCTCTTCAGCCATGGAGTCGTTATAATCTGATGGTCAGTTCCATACTTTGTTGATAAAGAGTAGGTTAAAATTTAGCAATGGGTGTTGTTGACTAACTGTCTTCCCTCTAGTCTATCACTTCAAAATTAGGGACGACTAGTGCATACAGCCCTTGTGTAGCTTTGCGCGAAATTGAACAAACGAAATATATCATAATGTTGTCCACTTAAATAAATGTTGATCAACTTAATGTCTTATCGTCTTACACTGGCGAACGTTTACTTTACAAAATAACAAAAAACTTACGTCACTGTATATTTTCTCAGTATGATTTTCATTAATAGTTTGAACACGTTGTTCCACATCATTAACATTTGTTTTATTTCATATACATATATAAGCTGCTTTCCTCACCTGCGTGAGCGCCATATAGTGGTAATGATTTTCGTTAATGATTTGTAATTAGTTATCTTTCACGGTATTTGTTTTTCTATATAACGTTTATCTCACCATTATACAGCTCCATCTAGTGGTAATGAATAAATCTTTGCTGCTTCTATGTCAAGGACATAATCATCAACACTTCCTTCTTAATGTGTGTTTGAGAAACGGGAAGAGAAGTTGAGTCTTAGTAATAAATCTGATTCTGCTATTTACAAGTACTTTTCTGGGTAGAGAGATAAACCATGCGTAGCAGGAACACCTAATTAAATTCCTCAGAATTTCTTTTCTTCTAGACTTAAGTAATGTTTTCCTCAATTGAATTATTTGAGGAAGAGCTCGTCGAGCCCATTAAACTCTATAACTTGTACAACTTGAACTTTGGTTGTTTTTTCTTTTGTTCCACGACTAGGATTTCAATAACGATGCATTATAGTTGCTATAGAGATACGTTATTTTTACTATAGTGGCTACTATGTAATGAAAAATAAAAGAGCCGGAAGGATGAATATTAATCTTTATTTAATGGTCATTGTCAGAAGACATTACAATTACTTACGGATAAGGTTTACACAAGCATTCTTATTTAGAAAAATATGTGCTTTTTGAAGACAGAATTTTTTAAACTAAATATTGTTGTCACTTTTACGAAAATGAAAAAGGAGTTAAAACGAATCTGTTATGTAACAAATCAGAGTTGCTTCTCTGCATCAACTTTTTTTTTCTTTCCGTTTTACTTTCATCAGCAATAAAGTTTTCATTGAATGTTTTGCTTGAAGATTATATTCGGTGGTTTCCGTATTGTTGGTGAAGTTTTACTTTAATTTTTTGGTTTCAGAACAATTTAAACGTAATATTTTTTTTCTGGAAAACTCACACTTCCTGGTAATTTTTACTTCAAGAAGTGCCTTTATTCTCCAATGTTGTACGTATTGTGTTATTTTTTATTACTTTCTGAACGATACGGCGCTTTTTCAATTATAAAAATGAATTATTATATGTGAAATATGTCAGCCAGATTGACAAAAGTATACCTAGAGACGTTTGATATAAGAAATAGTTCGGTACCATTGTCTCATGTATTGTAATACTGGTCGTTTCAACAAAATTTTATCTATATATTTTGTTTAATCCACTATGGTTAAGCACGTTGGATTCGTAGTTTTATTATTGTAATTTATTCAATAGGTTATTTATAAATACAGTACTACTTAGTGTTAGGCTACGAATGTATGCACGTTACAGGTGTAAACACGCTTCACAAGACGGACTAAAACATCCAAGTGTTGTTTACACAATCCAGTTTATGTGGTAATTTTTTAATTGGTTAAGATATATATATATATAGTCAAACATTGAAATGTGCTTTTGTCACTCCTATTTGTTATATTTTATGGAACATCGCCCTTCATTGTACAAGCCACCTGATTGGTTTACTGTGTACGTATTGACTCAAGTGATAATAAATACTTGTTTTTACACAAATGAATTTGTTTGAAGTTGAAGAGAGTCTTCTTATACTTGTTTGAACTAAAAAGTAAAGTCAATATAAATGTATGCTAGAATCATTTGGTGCTGCCATATATCATGTTTTCTGCCACGATATTCTCACACCTTTGTTAAAAGATGCATCCATACCAGAAAAGAGTAAGATAGAAACATCAATCACTTTCACTGTCAAGCATGCGTGTTTCAAGTTGCCCGTTAAGGCTAGTGGCGTAGCAAGGATTCTCAGCACCCGGGGGCAAAGACACTTTTGGCGCCCCCACCTCTGAAATGTTTTGATTATTTGTTTTGTGACTCATTACCCACTTAATGACAATAACATAAAGAATTAATTACCGCCTTACACAGGCCTAAAATAAAGTCACAATATAACATCTCACGATATCCCAACTGTAAACCTGGAACTATTGAAGTATAGCCTACTAGGTGTACTTACATAATTTGTAAACCATTTTGATATTTATGTCATCCAGTATTGTTCAAAGTCTCATAGCTAGAGTAATCTTTCAAACATGCAGAATAAAATTGTAATATCACTAGTTTTATATGTTTTATGTGAAAAGCCAGTCACTTGTGGTATATATGGATTATAAAACAGATTGATAAAATACTACTTAAATTTATAAATAACAAATTTTATTAGTTTAAAAAACTGTACTTAATTACATCTTGTACAGGTAGCATTCTGGTATTCATAGTTACATTATATGAACCTTTCGTGCTTTTGCTGCTGCAAATGCATCAACTAAACTATCAAAATTTAAGGTATTAAGTACGTCTTTTTCAATGCTTAATATTGCCAAGTTACTAAGTCGTTCTTGAGTCATTGAGGTTCTCAAGTATGTAAGAAGTAATTTCAGCTTGCTGAAGGACCTTTCACAACTAGCAATAGAAACCCCAATTGTTAACAAAATCTGCAATGCAATTCTTAAATTTGGGAAAACATCTTCACCATATGAAATTATAAATGTTAGCAAATCAGTTGTAACCATTGGTTCAGAAAAATAGGTCTGTTTTTCTTTTACTTATCAACATTCTACAGTCTTTAATTTTTCTGTACAATTCTGGTTCATCCATATCATCTGGAAAGCTCTTTGCTAAGTCAGAAC